TTATTAATTTAGCAAGAGACAAAATCCCTCATTAAAATGCAATTTAACGAGGACAAATGGCATTTAGCGAGAGATTTTCCATTGTTTTAATAGTGATAGGAACTAAGAAAAACTTTAAAATTCACCAATTATGTTTAAAAGTTTTAAAAAAATCCTAATCTTGTCCCTATTAAATATATATATATACACTTTAACTTATTTTCTCTATCCAACATACAATGGAGAAAAACCTGAATAAAAATTTAATGATCTAACTTATAAATTAGATAAAAAAATATTTTATCTACCCTATAAACAGTAGGACTGGAGGGGAATGGATGTAGATCCTCTCAAAAGTGTCTCTCTTAGCGTCCCAAAATCTCAAACCTTCAATAAATATCCAATATCTCATATTTTGCCACATCATCTCATATAAAAATAATTTTATTTTTATTTTATTTTCTATTTTCGAAACTTATTCTAAAAATTTCTCTTTAGATTTTTTAAATAAATTTTTATTAAATAGATTGAGTTTGAATAAGCCAGACCATAAGTATTTGCTTACAGTCTAACTTTGTAAACTTTTTAAATTTATTTTTATTAAATAGATCATACCAGAGTTTAAATAAGCTAGACTATAAGTACTTGCTTAAAATCTAACTTACTCTGTAGATTTTTTTAAACATATTTTTAAATAAGCCATACTGTAAGTACCTGCTTAGAATCTAACTTACTCTGTAAATTATTTTAAAACATATTTTTAAAAAATTCAAGTTAGAGTTTGAATAAGCCAGGCTATAAATTTTTTTGTAAAAATTTTAAGGGTAATTTTTCAGAATAAGTTTTGAAACTAAAAAATAAAATAAAAATAAAATTATTTTTATATAATATGATGTGGTAAAATATGAAATATTTATGGGGAATGGCATCAAAGGCCTTAAAAATAGAGTTTATTGCACTGAGGGCCTAAATTATTCTAAAATTGCTCTACAGGCCTTAGGGCCCCAATTGCAATATTTTTTCAGAGAAAAAAATACTATTTTTCCCTTTGTTTGATTTGAATTTAGAACTTGTGTGAACCCTCGAAGCAATGGAATAAATCATGCACGACATAACATCTATTATATACAAGTCGATGTCCATGCATGCTTAACAGAAAGTCCATGCATTTTGAGTATTTTACTAGCCTAAGCTTTAACAAAAATGACTAGGCAGACCATGCACAACACAACATTCACTATGCACCAGACTATGTTCACGCATGCTCAACAAAAAATCCATGCATTTTGAATATTTCATTAGCCTAGACTCAACAAAATGACTAGTTAGGTAGACCATGCACAATACAATATCCACTACGCATAAGACGATGTCCACACATGCTCAACAGAAAGTCCATGCATTTTGAGTATTTCACTAGCCTAGGCTTTAACAAAAATAATTAGGCAGACCATGCACAACACAACATCCACTATGCACCAGACTATATTCACACATGCTAAATAAAAAATTCATGCATTTTGAAAATTTCATTAGCCTAAGCTTAACAAAATGACTTATTAGGTAGACCATGCACAACACAATATCCACTATGCACAAGATGATGTCCACACATGCTCAACAGAAATCTATGCATTTTCAGTATTTCACAAGTCAAGACTTAATAGAAATGATAAATTAGGCAGACCATGCACGACACAATATCCATTATATACAAGATGATGTTTACACATGCTCAACAAAAAAATCCATGCATTTCCAATATTAAAAAAGATAATTTCATCAGATATATAGAATTTCATATTGGTATTGGCCTAGGTACTAAAACAAGCACCCACATTAAATTTTAACATAATATTTCAAGTTTGATATGTATAAAAAGCTAGCCACTATATTCAAAACATCTAACAGTTGCTTCTCCATATACAAACAAAAAATATTTGTGATTTCCAATTATCCAAAAATTATTACTTGAAAATGCTTCCATATACATAATTATAGTTGCCTACATACATCAAAAAGGAACAATGTGACTACTTCTCATGCTGGGTTAGGATTCTTGCATGTCTTGCCATTGTGTCTAGCCTCTCCACATCTTGAACAATGATAATCTTCTTTTATTTTAATCTGCAATGAACAAATTAATCTAGGTAAATGTTCACATATAAAAGCCAACTTTTATTTTACACAATTCAAAGTTCATTTTTACACAGTAGATATTCTAACATCTTTGCCAGCATATTTTCTTCATAATGGGAGTTATATTTTATTCAATTTACATATTACCATCACTATTGTACAACAATTAATCCATTTTAAAACTTTCACAGTTAACTTAATGGTTTAGCAACCTTTAGTTTATATCAGTAGGTTAGGCTTAACAAAATACAAGTAGACAAACAATGTATAACAATACCCACTATACACAATATAAGGTTCATATATTCTCAACTGAAAATCCATACGATTCTATTTTACAGTAGGCTAAACTTAACAAAATGCTTAATTTAGGAAAATAGTGCACAACACAACATTTACTATGCACAACATAAAGTTCATATATTTCACTTGAATGTCATGTGAGTTTAATTTATCATTAGGCTATGCTTAATAAAATGCACAACAGCTCAAAGTTCATTTTTACACAACAAATACCCCAACATTTTTTATAGGAGATTTTCTTCATATTAGATCATATTTTATTCAGTTCACATGTAAAAGTCCAATATGAACAAGTCAACTATCATTATTGTATAATAACTAATCCACTCTAAAACTTTCACGACCAAAATGATTCAGCAACTTTTTGCTTAGATCAGTAGTAGAATCACAAAATAAACAAGTAAACTCGTAGGCTAAAAAATCTGTGTTTTACATGAGAGACCTATTACAATTTCAACAACTAAAAGACACACATGCACTGAATTAATGAGGAGAAACAAAATTGAAGATCCTTACCTCTAAACAATAATGATAGAAGCTTCAAAAACAGATGATGTCGCTCGAATAAGGAAGACGAAGAAGATCAGCAATGGCTGGTGATGTGCAAGGAAAGAGAAGAAAAATCATGAATTATACTTCATCTATCAACACCCACGACTTCTACACTTATCTATGCGGCAATGATCAACGACGACAGAGCAATGACTGGTGAAATGAGAAGAGAGAGAGAGAGAGAGAGAAGGAAGAGGAAGGAAGAACAAGGAAGAAGAAAACATTTTCATTCAGCTGATTATGGGAGGGACAAATTAGTCATTTTATCAGAAAACATAATTACAAATGAGGTCTTTAGGATCTCAGAATAATTTCAAAATCTAGTAAGCCTTATCTGTAAAATTTTTGCTTTTTAAGGCCTTTAGTGCCATTCTCCCAATATTTATTGAAGGGTTGAGATTTTGGGATGTTGAGGGAGACGCTACTGAGAGGATCTGAATCCAAGGTGTATATATGGCATCTATTGGCTTATTAGTTGAACGGTGGATGGAGGCCCTGGAATGATGGGACCGGCCAACCCCTTCACATGAACTCCTCCATGCTTCCTTGTCGGTCTTCCATGTGGAACTTGCAATAAATAAATATGATATTGTTAAAATATTAAAAAAAACATGACACGTTAAATAAATAAATAAATATGATATTTTTGTGTTTATTATATTAAAAATAATATCAAAATAATAAATATTTATTGAATAAAATGAATAATTTGTTCTTTTCTGATATCAAATTACATATATAGATTTCAAAATTACCATATCTTCAGCATAATTATTCAAAGGAAAACATGGAAATAACTTTACTCATAACTCAACATTATTGCCTCCAATTACCACACTATAATGCTTCCAAGAGTCACTGCAATTTGCTTTCCACCTTTTTGGCCAGAACAGAACAGATTTGGAGGGTAAGCAAATCAAACGATAAATTATAAAACTAAGTAAGAAGGGGTACTTACCTTATGATTCACAATGCTTTAACACGTTTTCTTCTTCCCTTGTATCCTAGCTTAAAGTGCTGCTATATTGCCACTTCCATATATCATATAACATAGTTATTAGGCACTACATTTCAAATAACATGAGATAAAAATAAGGATAACAAGGAGAAACAAATAAAAAATACAAATTAAAATGACACGAAAATGATAAAAGCCTATGTTAATTAGATACTCATTAGTTGTTGAGGGTAGTTAGGTCGTTAGACCATATTCTGACGTTGTTGCCTAGCATTTCCTGAATCCTATAAATATTTGGATTGCTCTTTCAATTGTAACTTGACTACTGACATAATACACGAGCACTATTCAGATCAACCTATGATTATATCCTTTGATTTCCCTTTGGTTTTCTCTACTTCTGAATTCCTTTCTCTTCTTCTCAATTCTATTATACTTCTATTTCTCACTTGACCCAATATCATTAATTATTAGTATTATTTTCCTCAGCTACGGCTTTTGATAAGTAAGTGGAGGATGACACAATAATTAAACGTGAATAATATAATTTTTGACCCACACGTAAATAATATATTAATTAGGAGCTACTATAATAACATTAATTAATATATGCAACACAAAGTGAACAATGTTTATACATCAAAAAGTGACTGATTGGAATAACATCTTTTCCTCCCTAAAATAACACTGAAATATGACAAACGTACAATTTTCACTAATTTAAGGTGTCTCGCTGTCTAAATCTTAAACACAGAACTGTAGGAGTACTTCAGCAAATATGGTTGAGGATTTTACCCTATTTAGTTCCCTATAATCAATTTTAACAAATAAATCTAATCCAGCCAAGCCATTCCAAAATATGGCTCCTCGCACCTTTTACTGTTCATTAGCACCGACTTCTACATTGGGCTGCCTGAACAGCTTTTAAAAATATTCCTTTATCTTTTTTCTTTTTCGAAAACTCTTCCATCCTTACAAAAAGGTTCCCGCTTGTTTTTTTTTTTTTTTTCCTTTTAAGTTTCAAAACAAAGAAAAAAAAAAACAAGATGATCACTCTCTGCTACTACTGCACATATTCTTTCTTCTTTTCCCTGTTCTCTTTGCCTCTCACCTCCTCTCTTTTTTGGTTCAAGATCTGCCTTAGCATCCCAGACTACCTTCGTTCAACTTTCGCGTCCATGGGTTACCAAGGGAGAGAGCTTGGGAGTGAGAGTTCTCATGGTGGCTGCTTCAGAGCCATGGGTTCATGCTTTGAGTGTCTTCGAATTTACTCGCATTGCTCTTTGTGTCTCTCCTTACTGTTCTTCACTTCCTCCATTTAGATCTAGATGGAGAAGCCGTCGCACCCTTCATTCTTCGTGTTCATCGGCCATCTTTTAGTGAGTAGATGGTGCTTCAAGTGAATGGAAAGTAGCAAAAACATCTAAGCTCAGAAGAGGTGGATTTATTCGTGAACCTTGGTGATTTTCTTTTTCCTTTTTCCCTTTTCTGTTTATTCATCTCTTTCATTGCAATTTTGACTCTTTTTCTTTGAGAAATGGTTGATTCATTAGGTTGGAGAAGTTGTTTGAAGCGGAGCATGATGTTCTCAAGGCTCATGGGGGAAGTGGGATTCAGATCATGATTGGAATCCCCAATGAGATGTTGTCTCTCTTAGGATCTTCCCCTTTTGCTGCTAATTTGTAGGTTCCCTCGAATGTTTCGTCGTTTATATGAAGGTGGTGTGGATATCAAGTTGCTCTTGTCTCAATGATTCTCGCTTCTCATTTTAGTTTTCATTTTGTTTCCTGAGAAAGCAAAAATTCCACTGTCTCTTTGTTCACTGTGTTTTAACTGCTTCATCTAAGATTAACTTCTGAAATAATAGCAGTTTAGCAAAAATTCCATTCTCTCTTTGCTCAATTTGCTTAACTGCTTCACCTAAGATTTACTTTTGAAACGAGGTCAAAGAAATGAAATGAAATGTACATTAAAAAAATAAGGGTAAAAATGAGATAATCAAAAGAAATAGTGAACCATATTCATAAAAAAAAAGGTAATTTAGTTTATGAAGTTGAGAATCATAATTCATGAAAGTTTTGGAGGATATGATGATTATCACATTTTTAGCATATATTAATAAGTTTTATCATGCTTATCATGAGGAAGAAGGATGATTTAGTTTATTTTTATGTTATTTTTTTCAATTCATTTCATTCCAATAACCAATCGTGACCTAATAGTAGTTGCTACTGAGATCATAGAAGTACCAAAGTTAGAAAATGGATAGGCTTAGCTCATATAAGCCAGGTCTTATGGGTTCAGGTCTTGAAACTTGGTTTCCTTAAAATTACTTATTTCCTAAAATCTGGCTTTTGTTCAAAAGGCTCAAGGCCAGCATGTAAATGTATTTTTGAAAAATGAAATAAACTGTTATTTTATTTAATAGAATTAACTTTTATATAACTCAACAATAATAAAATCACAAATTGCCAGCTAACATGTTAATTAGCTAGATTAATCAAATAAAAACATCAACGAAATTAGGAAAAGAGCACAAGACAAAGGGCCAAAAGGGAAATTAAATCCCGGCTATCTTTAACAACTAAACCATCTATGTTAGATGAGAATAATCGACCAAAGGCCATATCCCCCGGGCACCAAAATGAGGATACTCTTGCATCAAGATCTCCCAGAATAGCCTGCGTGTGTGAAGCTAAACGCATCAGGAACTTAATTAAACTAAACTGATAACAGTATTAAATTAAAAACTCTTAAACTGATAAAAATAATACGAGGACTAAGAAGAAACTACTCTACCAACTGACACTGTCAACCAACGAAGTCGGGGGAGGCAAGCCAAATCTCCAAGGAGCTGTCTTCACAGGTGGTAGCAACTCACATTGACGCTAGTGGCTAAAGACCCATTGGCGAAAGCCCCCGATCTACTGAACTAATTTTACAAAGTTTGCTCATTATTCTATAAACAGAAAACGAATTAGAGTGACAAAGATACAAAGATTTCCTAGTTGAAGGGAGCACCTAAAGCGACAAACAAGAGGGACTGGGCGAGAGCAAGATTGAGAGGGAGAAGGAGAGAAGAGCACAGAAAGATTGAGGGCATGACTGCGTTTGCGTTGACTCGAGTGTAAGGGAGAGAGAGCGACTGATTCAAATCCTTTCTATCATGATAGCGTCTATTCTATCATGGTTGGGTCTATTTCATCCACCTTATTTTACATTGTAAAATATAAATTTAATTTTATTAATCATAGTAAGCTTTTAATCTATGTCTTTTCTTTTTTTTAATATGGTTACTTTTATTTTCAATTAGTGATTGGATAAACAATTAGTCGTCACGTCACTTACTCAATCTATCTCGAGGAATTTATAGACAAGGTAACTCAATTCTTAATAAAGTAGGTTAAAATAAAGTAAAATAAAAAATATTATGTTTAATCAGTTAGAAAAAAAATGAACTCATTCATTTAGTGAACGGATTCACTTTTCATTAAAAAAATAATTTATGATTACAAAAATTTTTTTGGTTTGAACAATTTCTTCATAAATATAAACTTATTCCTAGTTTGAATAATTTTTAATATAGTATTTAGATAAATATTTTTCATGAAGCAGCATTTAGGTAATTTTTTTTTATTATTTAAAGCATACAAGTAAAACAGCCCCTTTATCTCTGATAAAATGACAAGTGACTTAATTTACACCAAATTTCAGACGAAGTTGATCAAAGAGGTGATGTAAGTGACCAAGCAAAGATCTATTTTCTTTTAAAAAATATAAAATATTTTTTAATTTAGATGTTTAGAAATAAAAAAATATTTTTAATATTTCAAGATATAATTAATATATTTTATAAAAGTGTCTCTAAAAATAAATTATTTTTTATTTATTTTAAAATAAAATACCTTAATAAATAGAGACAAATATGAAAAAATAATATTAATTTGAATAAGATAAATATTAAAAATATTTTATATTTTTTAATATAATAATAATTCCTCATGAATTCTTTTCTTGCCACAAGAGCATTAAAAAATAGAAAATTGCTTAGAAATCCCTGTTCACCAATTTAGTTCATGTTTGTTTTTTCATTATCAGTTTATTAAAAGTTGATTTAACAAAAGTCAATTCAGTAAAAATTAGTTGTTGTAATGAAATTTGTGTTTAGATATATTTTTTTAAAAAATTAATTTAATAAATTAAAATTTGTTTGAATTGTATATAATGAAATGTACTTTTGAATATACAATTATTAAAAAGGACATTGGTTTTTATGTTTTGTAATTTTTATTATAAAAATGTTTCATATTAAAATTTAATTATAGATTGAAAAATATTAATAAAATATGCTTTTGAATATAAAATTACTGAAAAGTTTCATATATATTATAAAAAATATAATATTTTATATATTTGACAAAATTTATATAAATAGTTTAATGTACATGCATTAATACTAAAGAACATATTTAAATGTTTAATTTAAAAATTAATAATAACACTATGTTGTGATAGAGCTCCTCATCATGGCCTCCTAACACAGAAGAAGTGAGGCAAACTAGAAAAAAGAGTAGAGGTAAAAAGGTGGCAAGGAAAATAAAAAAAATTAGGTATATGTTTGGGCTAAAATATGAAACGTCACTCAGATAGGTCGCAGGGTTAATTGGGCTAAGTAACTGAAGTGTTAGGCCTCATATAAACAAAAGGGCTAGCCCTGAAGCTCAATAAAGGCCACAATGAATAAACATGTTGAAATCCTGTCAGTTGCAAACATTGGATCGTTGGCACAAAAAGACATGATTTCAAGTAATGCCGAAATCTACGAACTTCATGCCCAAGTACCTTGGTAAAATGAGCTGATTATTAAAATGAAGAGCATGAAATAAAGACTGTGCCATAAGTTTTACGAGATTATTGATTTTTCAGTAGAATGTGCTAGGTCTTAAGGGAGAGACTACCACCACTCTGACACTATAAATAGAAGACGAAGACATAGAAGAAAGTAATAAACACTCAACAAAGACTTACATTTTACACTTTTTAGCCTTTAAGTTTATCAGTTAATTTTTAGTTTAGACTTGTAATTTCTCATACTTCAATAAAATCAAACACTTATTCTACCAAAGCCTTGTATCTTTTTACATCTGAGTGAACTGTGATAAGGAAGCTCGGGACCCTTTTTGTTATCAATTGAGACTCAGCATCTCTAGCACACCTAGTATTTGTTATTCATGCATGAATAATTTTTGGCACACATGGTAGGAGCTGTGTAACAAAGATGACAGGGATGAAAAAAGACAAAAGGATTGATGAAACAAGTATTGGTTCTTATGAACCAGAAGGATCTCTACACACGTAGGGTCAGAACACTTAACGCCTGATGCTAAAGTGGCTGAACATTGTGAGCACACAATACCGATGTCGATAAGTAGTAACAGTGCAAGCCCTAGCTCAAAGCTAGGGAGTGGACAAGCTAACCTACTAATCATATCTAACAGACCTGTGGCAGAAGTTCTACTACAAATTCAAGACTGGATGGATAAGCATCTGGAGGAGAACCAAAGGTTCTTTATACTATCCTTGGAAACGTCAAAATGTAGAAGGAACGACAGTAGATCATGATGTAGGCTTTGCATGATAGCATGAAGAACATAGCCACATCATTGAAAAGCACTCCTCTGGAAGCAGGCTCACATTTGGGTTGCTTGGAAGGCAGCAAGCAGGAATCAATATAAGTGCTGGCCCTCGGACTGCCCACTTATAAAGGACATCCCTAACTCCCAAATATTTTCTCACACTAATCCTTTAAATAATCCTTTGTATTATTTATAAGAGCACAACATGAGTGGCCTGGGGTCACGGCAATAATCCCAGAGAGTCAAAATGAGCCTTAGAACCAACTGGTGAACATGGAGGCCTTGATGGATGTCATCTAAGATATATATAGACCAAGGCTGAGGCCAATTGGCCACCCCACCTTCTAAAAGCCATATCTGGAGTACATAGACAGGGACAACCCATACCCTCTAAGATACAAGATCCTTGACTTCACACTTTTCTCAGGGGATGGAATGCAATCGATGCTGGAGCACATTGAGAGGTTCACAATCTAATGTGATGAGATTACCAACTATGAGAACTTCACCAACTTAAAGCTTAGATTATTCCTAAACATTCTTATGGGCTCGACATTCATATCCACAACTTAATCATCAACTAGATAGAAATGGAATAGAAGTTCCATATCCAGTTCTATAAGGCAGAGTCAGAGGTTAGCATAGCAGAACTTTGTAAGCTCACCCAACAGGCTGGGGAGACAACGGACCAATACTTGGTAAGGTTTAAACAACTGAGAAGCAAGTGCCATGTGTTGCTTCTAGAAACTAAATTTGTTAAATTAGCACAAGCAGAACTAGATATAGAGCTCTGAAAGAAATTTTAGGGGAAATTTTTGAGATTTCTACAAACTTACGGTCAAAGTATGGGGATATAAGGAATTTCTCAAGGAAGAGGACCATCGCCAACGAACTACGACAGGAACCTATTTTGGGGACCTTGACATGGCGATGGCAGACCTAAAAAATACTAGCAACTACACATGCCCAACTCTGATAAGGAAAGCCGGAGAGATTCCTAAAAGGCCAAACACAATCCAGTACATTTTTGATACCACCAAAATAGAGAAAATCTTTGATTTCCTCCTCAAGGAAAACTTTATCTCCTTGCCTATTGATCACAAAATACCTTCAAAGGAAGAACAAAGAAGGAAGGAATACTATAAATACCATTACTTAGGGAATCATAACACCAAGGCATGTTGGAGATTCAAGAATGTCATCCAGGACCGGATCAACAAGGGGGTTCTGAAGTTTTCTAAGGAAGA